AGCCCGCGGGGCAGCGCCTCCGGGGCCGGGGTCCACCCCGGCAGCGACACGGGCTCCTCTCCCTAAGGACAAGGTCAAGGATGAAGGGTCAATGTCAAGTTGTCTTAACGGTGGAAGGCGACCGTCCGCGGCAGCACTCCTTGCTTTCCGCGTTTCTGGTGTCCTTGATTGATTTGAAAGTGCCATTTTGAGGGGGGAACGCACCCAGCCGCCGGGAAGACGAGAGGGCTTCGCTTTTCCTTCAAAGGGCGAAGAAGTGACGGTAGTACCGTGCGGAGATTTCATTGCTATTCTGCCTAACAGCATTTAATGTCTTAAAACTGCTTTAATGGCCGGATTGCTTTAAGTTTCAGGGCCCCTCGGAAGGCTGAATTCTGCCAAAGCGAACCCTCCGAGAGGTAAGATGCAATGTCATGGCTCCCTGATAAGCATACGTAACCTATCGGTCGCAGAGGCAATTTGCTCGTGTTTTCTGCGTGGACGCTACGGGAAAGTTAATTTGAATGTAAACACGCGTGAGGCAGCTCGGGGAGGCGCGTCAGTGAGGGAACCTGTCTGGCAGTAACATCAGCTCCTCCAGCACTGCCCTGCGGGGGGAACCTACCGCTGGCAGCCGGGCAGGGGCAGGAGGTGGCCGGGGCCTGACTTACAGCCACCGCCGCCAGAGACAGAACCAGTTCTACGGGGATGAACCTGCAACCCGGGCAGCTGAAGGAAGTCAGCATGACTCTGCATCTGGCTCTCCTTTCGACTTCGGTTGCTTCTTGCTTCGCAATTACATTTTCCTGTACTGATTTCCCCCCCACGCACACACTTGATTGTGAAAATACAAAGGCGACAAGTGATGAACCGCCTCCACGCGGAGCAGAGAAAGCAGCTATGCTCAAATTATCAGCTGACCCCCACTCACGCTCCCGCTAAAGGGGAAAAAAGCATGCATTTTTAAGGGCCTCATTATGGTAATTCTCGGCCAGAAGTAATAAGCGCTAACAGTTTTGTAAACAAAAATATGAATGATAATTTCCCTCAAAGTTAACTCTAGAAATGTAGGTATATAAATAACGTCCGTGTATTCACATACAGTTGATTTTCTGCATAAGGAAGGAATTTAGATGCAAAACTTCGAATAGTCAGTCAGACGGCTTATAAATGACTTATTTCGTGACTAACCAGTGCCTAAAATCCACAGGCTTTGGTGGCATTATTTGTTGCTAACTTACTGCAGAACTAGACCTGCAAGTCTTACAACAGTCCCCCTACTTTTTTTTTGTTTGTTTTACAGTTCAGAATACAAACCCCCCCCCCCCATCTTCTGTTAATCACGCCACACAACAAAAATAATTAAGTGAAACGTAGCTAGGGTGCTGCAGGCCTCCTACAAGTAAAGCTGCCCGGCCAGCAAATGCTGTCAAACCTCCCTCACCGTGCGGGTCTGTCAAAAATCTTCGCAGAAAGCAGCACGTTAATCCTAATCGTTTCCTCTCAAGAATGATAAAGCTACTCCTCCTAAACCAGAAAGAGTTGCCCCAGTCGGCTCCAAAATCAGCAGCCGAAACACCTTCTGCTGCAAGGCGTAAAGTAAGCGAGTGTCCCCCCGGCTCTCTGATTTGTCTGGCACTCGTTGGAGCACAAAAGCCACCTCGAGTGGCTCGGAGCGAGGGGTTGCGAGAAGGAGAATAGAAACTTTCGCTGTGACTTGAACGTGAACTTCCTGCGATGTGGCGGCACGTGCAGCTTTTCACCTTTTCTTCACGTTCTGGATCAAATCCTTCCTGTTTTGATCTAATATAGATATCATTATTTAAAATATGACTGTAATAGACGTGAGCGCCGTGTAACTAATCTTGACAACGTACCTATAGCTTCAGTTCGTGCCAGGAATTAATCGGCTTTAATCCAATTGCTAAAAGTCGCTTTTCAGCCTTTATTGTAGTTACTCTCTAGTAATGTGTGGGTGGATTTGTTTGTAATTTAGCACAGGCTGTCCCTGGCATTGCACCATACCTCGTACCTAGTACAGAACCGTCTGTAACATCAAACTGGAAAAAAAACGGGCAGGTGTGAGGGCAATTACTTTATCATCCCTCCGCTCGGCGGTGGGGAGCTCGACCTGTTAAGCCAACGTCAGCAGGCAATAAAAACCTCTTGGGAAACCCGGCCAACATAAGCTAGAGCAGGAACACGATACATTTAATATTCAACTTCTCTGACACCCTGGCTTTGCATCGTAAGTGGCGTTTTAGCGTGGCCTCAACCCGCCTGGAGACCCTGAACGCGGCCGCCAGACACCCGCCCCAGGCGCCCCGAAGCCCACGCTCCCCAGCAGCGCCGGCAAACAGGCTTTAAACAATTCCCGGGAGTATTTTCCTTGGGACCACGGACTCCCCCGAAGGTACACTTTAACTCTCCATTCGCCCCTGCCCGCACGCAGCGTTTGTTCGCTGCCTCTCCCCACCGACTGACCCAGCCGCGGTG